ATACTTAAAAAATATTATTATAATTTTTTACAAAATTAAGTCATATTTTACAAACTTATTTTACTATTAAGTAAACTTATTTGCTAAACAAGAAACTGCAAACCTTATTATTAAATTTAATAATTCAAAATTTAATACTCCATATTATTTTATATAGAATAATTATTTAAGTCTTTTTAAAATTTACATCTTTATTAAAAATGCTATAACTATTTAGAAAATTGTCAAATAGTTAAACTTTAAAATTTTTAAATTATTATAAATTTTAAATAAAAATAAAAATTTAAAATTATTTTTTTTTTTAGAAATAACTTACAAAATATTTTTTTGTATTAAAATTCTTACTACTTCAATTTTTAAACAATTTACTTAATTGATATTATTAAAATCTTTGATCTATTTGTAATATATATTAATATTAATTAGAACAATCTTACAATATTATATCAAAATCCAAATATATTAAAATGTTTACTAATTTTATCTAACTTTTCAAACAATATTACAACTTCTTCTCAACTTATTAGTACTAAATTTTTTATTATTTAATAGCTTCAACAAGTTCACATACTAACTACTTGTATTAATTAATATTTAATCAATTATTTAAAAATTTTTTTTAACTTATTTTAGCTAAAACTGAATTTGAAATAATTAACTATAGAATTTACAAAAAATAAAAGATGTAATGTTATATTAGATGTCTATTTGTAATACAAATATAGTTTAAAAATCTTTAATTTTATAATTTATAATTTATATATAAAAAATGTTTAACTTAATCATTATGCTAATAAAAAATAAGGTTTTTATAGTTTTAGATAATAGACTTTATAATAAAAAATTATATCAGATATGATGACCTAGTGAAGTGAATAGGTTGTCAACTCTCAAGTAGCAGATTTAAGGTCTAATTTTTATAGATAATGAATTTTGGAAACTATATCTATGTTATAGTAACTGTCTTTTGTCAATCAGTTGGGTTTTAGACATCTGTAATTTTAGATATATCAAGTCAGATTCCATCTTACATTAAAAGCTTAGAGCATTTATACAAAGTGTAAGGTTAAATATATAAAAATATAAAAAATTAGTGTTATATAAGACTTCAATGCAAATCCATAATAAGACCACCAAATATCAAAAGCCAAAAAATCAAGAAAAATAAAAACCCACTTAAAAATTCTAACTAAAAAAATAGTATAAACTTTTAATAGTACTATCAGACTAATGGAAACCTATAAAACATTCTAAAGAAATTGGTGGATAAACTGGATAACAGGTATATAAAAGAAGCATATGCACCAACCAGGTTATTGAAATGACTAAAAGAAAAAAATATATAAGTATATCATATTAGACTATCAAGATTGGTAGTTTAGAGAATTTTATCAGTTTTGAGTAATGATTAGTAAAGAATGATAAGAAGATATTAAAAAAGATAAGTATTAGAGTTTGTATATACTTTACAAGAGTAATAGCAGTTTAAAGGATAACTCTAATCATAAGTATTGGTTTTAACCATAACATTAAACCAGATTAGCAGTAAAAAAAGAATATAATTCATTTTGGTAGATTTATTTTGAAAATAAAAATAGTTTAAGAATTATAATTCTATAGTTGAAGATAAAAGAATCTAGGTCTGTGATCTAGTGAAGTTAATATTAAGGTCAAATCAAAGGGTTTAAATGAAATATCTAAGCAGAGGTGTTAGGTATAGCAACTGGTAAAGAATCTTCAAGCAGACTTCTTAAATAGATAATATAGAAAAGTTACACATATAGCCAGTTGTATGCTTATTTGATAGTTCAATATAGATATGCTATATAAACATGTACCTGATATAAGTATTAATAAAAAATCAGATCCAAAAAAATCATCTTAACATCAAAAAAAAATTATATCTAATCTTTAAATTTTGATAATTTAATAAGATTTTAATTAATTTTAATAAAACTATTACTGCTAAATTACAAAACTTTACAAATTTGTTTAAGAGCTTAAAATAGATTTAATTAATAAAAAATTCTATAATTTAAATTATAAAAATTATTTACCATCAAGTTTATATATAATTTTAAAATAGTACCCACTACCCTTAAGGGATTAATTTCAATACAAGTAATTCTATTTGTCAGTTTATCTTCATTATTAATTAGATTGATATTAATTGTCAAAGAAAAATTTTGATAAATTTTATTAATAAGCTTTATAAATAATGCTGTTATCAACTCTTAAATTATCTTAAAATCAAATTTGCCTGCAATTTTATAGTGTTTGTGATTTATCTATCAAGTTATAGATTAAATTTCAAGTTTCATGGTCGAATAAGACAGTTTAAGAGATAGTGATATAGATTTAAGAGAATAGACAAGGTTTAGCAAAAACTTACAATTCTATTTTTATTTAAATATACCTGTATTTAGTAAAATATTGTTGCTGGTGCAGAATTTATACGAAGAATTTCTTTCAATTTGTTCTTTCCGTCGTAACTAATTCCATTGCTACCAAAATTTAAGGAGGTCAAAGTAATATTTTCATGAAGTGCTTCTATTAATGCTTTTCCACCATCAAAATCAATTTTGTTATAAGAAAGATTTAATGAAGTTAGTGTAGTGTTCATATAAAGTGCCTTTGCAAATGCCTTTATCCCATTAGAATCAATTTGATTATTGCTAAGGTTTAAAACATTTAAAGAGATGTTTATGCAAAGAGCTTCTCCTAATGCCTCCGCGCCTTTAGATCCAAGTTGATTATAATAAAGATCTAAAAAAGTTACAGTAGTGTTTATACAGAGAGCCTTTGCCAATGCTTCTCCTCCTTCAAAATCTATTTGACTATAGGAAAGACTTAATGAAGCAAGAGTGGTGTTTATATAAAGAGCTCTTGCTAATTCCTTTGTCCCTCTAGAACAAATTTGATTGCAGTCAAGATATAAAGTAGTTAAAGTATTATTTTTACAAAGGGCATCTGATATTGCTTTCACTCCTTCAAAACCAAGTCGATTATTGCGAATGTTTAAAAATGTTAAAGAAGTGTTTATACAAAGTGCTTCTGCTAATGCTTTTCCTCCCTCGAAACCGAAGTGATTAAAGGAAAGATTTAAAGAAGTCAGAGTAGTATTTTTAGAAAATGCTTTTGATAATTCTTTTATCCCTTCAGAACCAATCTGATTGCCATAAAGATCTAAAGAAGTCAGAACAGTATTTCGATAAAGAGCTTTTGCTATTGCTTTTGCCCCTTCAGTGCCGATACGATTATTTCCAATATTTAGATTAGTTATAGAGATATTTTTATAAAGAGCTGTTGCTAATGCTTCAGCACTTTTAGAACAAAGTTGATTACTGGAAACATCCAAAAAAGTTAAAGTTGTACTTATACAGAGTGCATCTCCTAATATTTTTCCTCCTTCAAAATCAAGTCGATTATAAGAAAAAATTAAAGAATTTAAAGTAGTATTCATACAAAGAGCTTTTCCCAATGCTTTTATCCCTTTGAAACCAATCTGATTGTCACAAAGGTTCAACGTAGTTAAAGCAATATTTGTACAAAGTGCATCTGCTAATACTTCCGCGCCTTCAGAACAAATACGATTATAACGAAGATTCAAAGAGGTCAAAGAAGTGTTTTTATTAAGTACCTCTGCTAATTCTTTTCCTCTACCAAAATCAAGCTGATTAAATGAAAGATCTAAATGAGTCAGAGTAGAGTTCTTGCAGAGAGCTTCTGTTATTGCTTTCCATCCTTCTGGACTAAATTTATTAGAAGAAAGATCCAAAGAAGTAATAGTGGTGTTTTTACAAAGAACATCTACCAATGTTTCTGTTGAAACGGAACTAAAATCATTAATATAAAAATATAATGTAGTAATAGTAGTGTTTTGGTAAAGACATTCAAACATCTTTTTATTATAAATAGTTCCTTCAAAGATTAAAGATTTAAGTTTTTCACTTTTTCTTAGAAACATTGCAGTCAAAGCATATTTAATAGCATTTAGGGATACATCATCGTCTTCATCATCGATAAAAAATGAATCGGAAGATCCACACATATCATAGTTGTCATCATTAAGCCAATTTTTAACACAATCATTTAAATAAAAGCCAACGGATGTAGTAAAACTCGCGTATTCAAATAATGGTTGTGGATAATTTGGAAAGTTAATTTTAAATGGGATTAATAGAGCTTGTTCTTCAACATTTAATGCCAAAAGATATATCTTTATAAGTCTTTTATCATCAACATATTCCGTTGGTTCGCTCCATAATATTGGTACGATAATTCTACACCAGTGACGGTTTACAAGAAGACATGAGAATAAGCTTCTGTAGTTAGTCCTAAGATTGTCAAATATTTCGAAAAGACATTCGTTAGGTAATGTTATCATTTTTAAACAAGATTAAAAATTTAATCGAACGCTAAAAGGGATGTTTGACTTGCGGTGAGACAGGTGCACCTCCGTTACATATTATAATTTGTATTGTAATACGTATTACAATTAAATCATGTGATTTCACAAAATTTAAATGGGATTGCTACGGATTTACTAATTTCCCCCCCATAGGGTGATAGATTGCATCACTGGTCGAGTGGTTAAAAAATTAATTTTACGCGCCGCAAAAATAAATTCGCAAAAGAGCTTTTTCGTAATCGTTACATATTTATTTAATTTTTTAATTTATTAATTTATTTTAATTTATTTTTTTTAATTTAAATTTTTTTTTATTTTTATTTTTTTATGAATGATGAATGATTTTTCTTTCTCTAATATTAACGTCTGCAACTTTTTTGATTTATATCATTTCGAATTCCTATTAAATAGCCTTAATAAATTTTTTGCCAATTCTATCAAATAAAAAAAATTTGCTGTATTGCGCAAAGTTATTAATAAAATAAAATAAATAATTTAAAACAATCCTGACATCATGTAATTATTTATTATAGCAAATTCGTTTAATTTCAATGATATTTTTGACATTGGTGAAGACAAAGAAGTTGACATGGATATCAGTGAAAATGAGTTTGACAATACATCCGAATCCATTCTAGGTGTGATAAATGGTGTTGGTCAAATATGGGAAACTGTTGATGATGATCCTGAAAAGATATCAATGATCAAGAAAGCTAAGCCCTATTATTTTTTGATAAATGAATATAAAGATTGGATCAAAAACCTTGAAAAAGCAGATTTCAGTTATCATTGACATGACCATTAGATCAAATTTGGCACAAAACAAAAAAATGAATGAATTAAGAGGTGGTATTGTTACTGTTATAGGTTATACAAAAGTACTGCTAAAAAGACTGCATATAAAAAATCATGATTAGCACAAAAAAAAACAAAAAAATATAGTTGTAAAAGTTATATTTTCATTTTGCTTTCTATTAATTCATCAACTGTAATTTTAAAGCATTATTATAAATATTATAATCATTTTTCTGATCAGTTGTCAGACTTGTATACTCTGCTCTTTTTTGAAAATATTTACCAATTTATTCAACAACATGTTCTTGAGGGGCTTGATTTTTTAGTATCTACAAGTTTATACAATTTCGAGCAATTGAGTTGTAGGATCAGATTATTATAATTTATTTTTTTGTATTTTATTTATTTTTATTTATTTATTTATTTATACAGTTTTCTTATAATTCTTAATTTTTTTTAATTTTATTATAATTTTTTTTCATTTATTCTATTTTATATACATATTATTTTTTTTATTTTTAAAATTTTTTTTCTTTTAAATTAATTCGTTAAGAAATTCTGAAAATAATATACAAAATGTACAAGTGTTACATGATGGATTAATAATATAGGATGATATTTATGCTATAGTTTATAATATAATGAAGATATCTGCTTATTTTAATAATAATAAGATTCATTCTTTGGAAAAGTGACAGGAGAAAATAATTAGTAATGATGGAATATGTTTATTTAAAAAGCATAATAAAATAGATAACATCAGATTTGTATTTATGTTTTAAACAAAAGAGCAAAAGAAATTAATGAGTCTTGTTTTAGTTGTATGTTTAGATGTTACATATAGAACAAACACCCTGGATATCATCTGTTTACACTTATTATATAGCATCTAATCATGGATAGTAAATATCTAATTGTATTTTTAATAAGCAAATTTAAATAAATATCAATATTAAAAGTATAGTTTGATTTTTTAAAATATGAAAATAGGTAGTAGAAACTAGACATTTTTATAGTTGATGATGCAGAAGAAGAAATCAAGTTGTGCTAGGTGTGTTTTTCTGATAGTTCTGTATTTTTATGCTATTTTCACATTTTAAGATCCTAGTACAAAAAATTGAATAAATATAATATAGATGATAATTTACACAAAATCATTTAAGAAGATCTCTGGAAATTACTGAAGACAAAAAAATAGAATAATGCAGAGGTCCAAGAATATATTAAAGAAATGATTCAAAAATAAAGAGAAATAAGTGCTGAAAAAATAAATAATTTTACTAATTACTTTGATTATTGGTAGAGACCAAAGTATGAAATGTAGATGATTTGTATAAGAGAAACTTTTAGTGATTCAATGGATACAAATATCTAATCAAATCATTTTATCATAAATTAAAATTAATCTATATGAGAAGATGACCAGGTAAGAATTAAAATTAGTTAAAATTTTGATTTATTAACTAATTATATACTGATTATATTGTTAACTGTTAAATGACTAGATTTTTATTTATTTATTTATTATTTTTTTATTTATATATTTTTATTTTATTATCAACATATTTTTAGGTAACAAAAATTTAGCTAACTAATTTTGATTATTATCTTTACTTATAGGTCGACACCTTGATGAAGAAGTACATCTTCTTGTAAAGGTTATGCTCTGTAATATAAATTTTTCAGTATTTTTAAATGAACTAAAAATTGGTAGAATGTGTTTACAATAAAGACAGCAATGAATTTAAGAAATTGTGGAAACTATAAATATAAATGATAGTAATATTTATAGTATTCAGCCTAGTATTTGGATAGTATGTTCTCTATAACAAATGAAGATATTGAATACTCAGTCCAAAAAAAAATAATGAAAATAGATTTGATATCACCTCTTATGTTTGTAATTGTCATAATTTTCAATTATAACAATTATTATGCAAATATGTATTTGCTATTTTAATATGAATTAATGTAAATAAAGTTAATAAAGATGATTATTATGTCTATAGAATTTGTAAAATCAGATTTTTCTAATTCTTTTGATTCTTCTGTCTCTTGTAAACATATAGATTCAAAAGACAATAATAATGTTCAACTTGCAAAATTGCAATAAGAATTTTTTACAATTGTCACAGAATGGAAAGATAAAAAAGGAATAGATATTTATAATCTTTAGATAACTTTTAAACAAGCTATCCAAGCAGAAAGGGCAAGAATTGCAAGGATTGAATCTGTTCTACAAGTTATCAGTGATGAGCCAAATATATACCAAATAGATCAAATTATGCCAAATACAAAAATAAGAAGCCAAAATAAGTATTAATTTTTTTTTTTAAACATATGTATAGAATTTACTAATTAGCATAATAGCAGATTATTAAAATATAATTCATTTATTTGTTGCATGTATCAACTTGAAATATTTATATACTCATACTAATTAACTTAATTAACTTATTGAAACAAAAATGAAAAATAAAATATTGAAAATTTTTATTAAATCAATTTATTTGATTGTAATATTTATTATGTATTCTCTAAATTTAAATTGAATTCTTGATTATTTGTAATTTTTGTCACAAAGAAAAAAAATTCATAGTATACAAATATGAATGTTTTAAATCAAGAAATTTTTGCTTTGTTCAAAGAAAATTTTTATAGTATTAAATGAAGATTGAATATGCATTAAAAAATAATTTTTTATAGTATTAAGTAAAGATAAAATAGCATATTAAAAAATAATATTTATATAATATACATGTTAAAAATAAAGATTTTAATTTCTGCTATTAAAAAAATTTTATTTTTTATTTTATTTTTTATTTTATTTTATTTATTTTATTTTTGAATTTTTTTTTGAGGTAATATGATTGGGTTTGTCCAATTAAAGATGATTTTATATGTTCAATCAGAACTATGAGAGGCAATTAGGGCTCTCGATTACTACAACCTTAATGTTGTACCAAGTGAGTAATTATATCTATTACACTTAAAGTTACATATAAATAATTTTAGTTTAAATGATCATCTCATGTAAATGACAAGGCAAGAGATTATAGCATAATATACATTTTAGAGTAAATACAAAATAAATAATTTTATTATTAATTGACTACATCGAATGAAAAATTAATTTGTAAAATTGACACTTACTCTTGTTGATTGCTACTGTTATAGCAACATATGATTTATCTCTCTTATCAATACAGTAATAATTGACATGAGCACCCCAAATATTAACCAATCAAATTAAAAAATAATGAGAAAACAATAAATTTTTTATGTATTAACTGATTAATACTATAAATATATTAATATATATAGTAATAAATTAATATTACAGTAATAAATAAATATCAATCAATATAGGATTATAGTGATTATAAATATTGTCATTTAATTTACTAATATTTTTTTGTAATTATTTTATACAACAGACTTATTAAATACATGCACCACATATAGGATTTCAGTTTAACAATGCATAATTATATCTATACAAGATATACATAATATAATATATACAATTCATATTTAAATTAATAAATATAAATTTACACAAAAAGTTTTAACTAGTGATCTTTGAGATAACATATTAGTGTATGTTAAACGTTTACTACTAATCAATTAACTTTTATATAATTTTTTATATCTATATATACAATATGATTTCTATTTATAAAATACAAAATAATCAGATTTTTTTGATATATTGGGGATATTTTTAATAAGAAAACAATATACTTTGTTCATCTCTTTTATCAAAAATAGTAATAGGAACAGAAAAAGTATTGAAAATCAATTAAGTGCAGTTGTGTAATAAAAACCAAAATAAAGGTTCACAGAATGATGTCTTAAACTTTAGTATTTGTTTAATCAATTCAATGTTATATCTTAACTAATCTTTATAAAATTTTATTTATTTAATTAATTGATTGTTTATTGTTAACTTAATAAGATTTTAATTCTCTTTATTTTCTTTAAATTCATTATTAAAAATTAATAATAAAAATATTTTAAAATAATATATTCTTTTTTAATTTTATACTAAAACTATATAATTAAAAAATTAATATTAATTGCAAAATACAAATTAGCTATAAATTATTATAATTGTCTACTAATTAATTACTAATTAATAACTAATTTTAAATTTTTAATTGAATTTATATTAAACTAACCAAATAAATTAATTTAAAAGATTTAATAACTTATTAAAATTGATATGTTGTTATAGTTTCAATAGCAAATTAGAAATTTAAAACTAATATTAAAAATTTAAACAATAATTTATATTATAACAATTATTTTTTATTAACTAATTAGAACAAAATACCTATAACTATAGTTATATTAATATAAATAACAGATAATTAAATCTTTATATAATCTTGATTATATAGAAGAATGCAAATTAGTACTGAATAATACAATCTAAGATAAATTTTATATATTATATAAATTTATAGAACTAAGAAAACAAAAGTCTATTTTAATAAATTTAAATAAAAAATAATATAATTTTGATAATATTATTATAAAGATTAGATCTAGAAAATAGATACTAATATAGAGTAATTAAAACAAACAAGAATCTCTAAATAAAAAGTATTACTAACTATACTACTAGAATTTAAACTAAAAAAATATTAATTTAAACTTAATATATCAAGAATATATTATAATGCTATTAGATTATCTGAATTAAAAGTTTGAAATACTAAAAATATGTTATAAAGTTGGTACTAAGATTTAAATAAATTCTATAAAAATATAGTTTTGTTAATAATTTATAAACTAGATATATTATGTGGAAGGCCAGGATAATGACGGTCAGACCCAATGTACAGGGCAGACTATGGTACCTTGCACAGCTGTGAGAG